CTCTTGAGGACCAGGCTTGCCTTGAACTCACAGGGATTCAATTCACCTGCCTCTACCTCCCACCCAAGTGCTGGAATTAAAGGCATATGCCACCACCACTTTGCTCTTTTCGAACTTTCAAGAACTCACATTCTGGAATTTACAAGACCAGGCTGGCCTTGAACTCAGACACCCTCCCGCCCCTACTGAGATTAAAGGTGTTTGTCACCACCCAACTTTTTTGTTGTTGTTGTTGTTGTTGTTGTTTTCAATTAGATTTGATCTTGCTATATTATTCTAGCTGGAATTAAACCTCACCCTCCCCTTGCTAGAATTATCAAGCAAACAAGCAGCTGTCCGTGAAGTAGGGATTTATTTGTTTGTTTGTTTGCTTGTTTTAGAAATAATAGAGTTTGGAGAAAGAGCTACTCTATAATTGATAATTACAAGACTCAGTTTATTATTAAACTACTTAAATTTCCTTATAATATGATTTCTAAGCATCGGCAGATGAATTGCTGGTTTTAATAAAAAATAAAATCACTATAGTAATATCTTTTCTATGTAGTTCTTGCTCATAAACAGTTGATGAGATTTACTCACAGAGGACAAAAGAAAAGTTCAAGAATGTACCTTCTTGGGCTGTCTCTGACCATGTTTCTGCTTGGGGATTCTTTCCTCCTACAGGATTGCCTCATCCAGTTTTAACAGGAGAGGAGTGTGGGGCCCAGGGCAGCCTGACCACACTTATGGAGACCAGGCCACACAGCTGCCATGACAGGCTTGATAGAGGTTAGCTAAAAAGTAGGCCTGAGTTTCCCTTTACTGGCAGGCAGCACTGGGTTCTAGGAAAAACCTTAAAGTGATACCAACAGGGAGGTCCAGCGCCTAAAGGGACATTTCTGACATTCCAAACATTAGATAAGATTAGAGGAGGTTGCCTGGCGGTGGTGGCGCATGCCTTTAATCCCAGCACTTGGGAGGCTGAGGCAGGAGGATCTTTGTGAGGTCGAGACCAGCCTGGTCAACAAGAGCTAGTTCCAGGACAGGCTCCAAAACCACAGAGAAACCCAGTCTCAAAAAACAAAACAAAACAAACAAACAAAAAAAAAAGATTAGAGAAGGTCACCAGATGTCCTTGAACTTATTCCCCATTCACCAAGCCCCCTAGACAAATGTTAGCTAACTAGGGTCCTGTACCCTGGAAATCCCCTCACCTCAACCTCTCATGTGATAAAAAACCATACCCTGACTGGGCCGGACACCCTCTGCTCTCAATTACTGCTTCGGACAGGACAGACAGAGTTCAAACTTGAACTTGATTAAAGGTTCTTTGCTTTTGCCTAAGGGATTTAGTCTCCATGGTGGTCTTTTGAGGGTCATTGTGATCTGGGCACAAGTGCCTAGGCTCACTGCAACTTGCTATACACCTTGGCTGGTTAATATCCATGGGAGGCCTGCTCTCTTTTGAAGAGGAAGAGAAGTAGAAATGGATGGGGGAAGGGAGGAAGGTAGGAAGGTTTGGGAGCAGAGGAGGGAGGGGAAACTAAGGTCAGGATGTAAAAACAAGAAATTAAGTAAATAAAAAATATCCCTTTTTAGACTGGAGAGATGACTCAGCGGTTAAGAGCACTGGGTTTGATTCTCAGGACCCACATGGCAGCTCACAACTGTCTGTAACTCTAGTTTTAGGGGATCTGACACCCTCATACTAATGCACATAAAATAAGATTAAATGCATTATTTAAAAAAGCATGTCTTTTCTTAATTATGATTTTGTTTGTGTTTTTGAGACAGAGTCATTCTATGTAACCTATGCTGGCTGAGAACTATGTAGCCCAGGTTGGTCTCACTTTTGCCACAATCCTGTTTGAGCCTTCAAGTTGCTGGGATTACAAGCATGCCCACACAGGCCTGGCTTTTGTTTATAACTTTCTTAGTGGTGGAGTAAATGGATAAAAAGACTTATAAGATTAGAAGAAGAAATCCCCAGATCCAGATCCATTTTTCTTTTTTTTTTTAATATTTATTTATTTATTATGTATACAATGTTCTGTCTGTGTGTGTGCCTGCAGGCCAGAAGAGGGCACCAGACCTCATTACAGATGGTTGTGAGCCACCATGTGGTTGCTGGGAATTGAACTCAGGACCTCTGGAAGAGCAGACAATGCTCTTAACCGTTGAGCCATCTCTCCAGCCCCAGATCCATTTTTCTTTCTTCTTTCTTTCTTTCTTTCTTTCTTTCTTTCTTTCTTTCTTTCTTTCTTTCTTCCTTCCTTCCTTCCTTCCTTCCTTCCTTCCTTCCTTTCTTTTTTCCTTCCTTCCTTCCTTCCTTCCTTTCTTTTTTTTTCTTTTCTTTTCTTTTTTTTTTGGTTTGGTTTTTCGAGACAGGGTTTCTCTGTGGCTTTGGAGCCTGTCCTGGAACTAGCTCTGTAGACCAGGCTGGTCTCGAACTCACAGAGATCCGCCTGCCTCTGCCTCCCGAGTGTTGGGATTAAAGGCTTGCGCCACCATTGCCCGGCTCCTTCCTTTCTTTTCTTTGTTTTGTTTTTGTTTTGTTTTGTTTTTTTGAGACAGGGTTTCTTCATAACAGTTCAGGCTATTCTAGAAAGCACTTTGTAGGCCAGGCTGGCCTTGAACTCATGGAGATCTGCTGCTTGCTTATGGGATTAAAGGTGTATACCACCACCACCACCGGGCTCAGATTCGTTTTCATCAAAAAAGAGATTATTGCCTATGGCTGAATCAAACAAGAAGACAAAAGATCTTCTCCTCATGTTTCCATATGTACCAGGTGATGTTGGTACACACCTTTAATCCCAGCACTTGGGAGACACAGGCAGGCCAGCCAGGTCTACAGAGGGAGTTCCAAGACAGTCTTTCAAAGCTACACTGAGAAACCTTGTCTCAAAAAAACAAAACAAAACAAAACAAAACCAAAAAAACCCCAGAGAATTGCACTGATCAGTCTTACAGACCTGGCAATGGTAAAGCACACCTTTAATCTCAGTAGCTGTGCTAGTTTGCCATAGAAACCAGGCGGTAGTGGTGCACGCCTTTAATCCTAGCACTAGAGAGGTATAAAAGATGGAAGGAGATAGCTCTCAGACACAGTCTCTTCGTGAGATTCCTGGAGGCAGGACCAACACTCCGGACTGAGATAGAGGTAAGAGCCAATCGCTGGCTGCTTTGCTTTTCTGACCTTCAGGTTGAATTCCGGTGTCGGTCTCCAGGTTTTTATTAATTGTGCTACAAAGAATGTAAGCCAAGTAAATTCCTCTTCAAGTTTCTTTTGAACATGGTGTTTTATTGTAGTAATAGCAACCTGACTGATGTAAGAGCCAAGTATTTGTTTTGTCACTATGCTTGGCATTTGGGTTTCAGGTTCTTGCCACAGAAGAGGCTGCACTAAACAGTTTATGATTTAAAATGATTTGCTTCTATAGGTGGCCCTGTCAGTAGAAACTCTAAGCAGAAGTAGAGCTAAAGGAAAATAGGAAGTGAAAAGAAAGTCAGGGCCTCAGACATACTAGTCAGATCTCTACCACTGCGCTACACTCTCAGGCCAAGAGGTGCTTTTATCCTTCCCTTTCCTTTGCTGCTGCTTTATAACCATAAGGAAAGGAACTTGAATAGGAATCTGAAGGGTGTGAATTTAGCTTAATGATAAAGCACTTGCCCGGCATTATGTATATCCTGGCTAGATTTAAAAAAAAAGAAAAAGAAAAAAAGCTAATAGGCTGTATACAAAACAAACCTTTATTAAAAGTAGAGATTTTCCTTTAGCTCCCCAAGTCTCCACATTGCCTATCTTTGCACAGTATAGTATAAAAACATTTGGGTCGGGCGGTGGTGGCACACGCCTTTAATCCCAGAACTCAGAGGGCAGAGGCAGGCAGATCTCTGTGAGTTTGAGGCCAGCCTGGTCTACAAGAGCTAGTTCTAGAACAGGCACCAAAGCTACAGAGAAACCTTGTCTTGAAATAAACGGAAAAAATCCATATCTATCTACCATTTATTTAATATTGAAAGACAGATATATTATAAGTTCTGTTTCTCTAGAGGACCCTGACTAATGCACATACCCAACACTCTTTTCCAGGGTTTCCGTGTCAGTCATTACTAACTCATTAGAAAACTTGCATGCTTTTCTTATATTTTACTTGTGATTTTTGGATTCATTTTTTGGACTCAGAGAAGGAACCCCCAAAAGGTAAAACTGGCTTCCCCTACAGTTTCATGCCAAGAAATTGTGGAGCAAGGCTAGAATTAGATCAGTGGGGATGGATGTGGAAACAGTACTCTTTACTTGGCTTTTATCTCAGCCATTCCAACATTATTGGAATTGGCACTAAATACAGCTTTAGTGGTTGAAGGACCGTATTTTGAATCATTTTGATGTAAAGCTGGCACTGTTTAGTAATTTTTTTTTGAGATAAGCGCTCACATAGTCAAATCTGGCTTTCTGATCCCCCTGCCTCCAACTCCCAAGTGCTGAGATTTTACCACCAAGCCCTGTATATACGGGCTGAGAACTGAACCCAGGACTTTGTGCATGGTAAGCGATTGCTCTGTTGAGTTATTTTGTTTGTTTTGTTTCTCTGAGAAAGGGTCTTGTTATATATAGCTCTACCTAGCCTGGTACTTTACAGTAACCCAAGTTGGCCTCGAATTCGCAATAATTCTCCTCCTCATCTTTCCAAAAGCTGGGATTACATGCGTGTGTGACCCCTATCTTACTTACTGTTTTCATCATTTGTTCTTAAACGATTTTAGAAAGACCAGCAATGTTACATAGGTAGATTGAGGAGGTTAGAGAACAGGACTGCTGATCAGTGAGAAGGGATTTGGAGAGGAGGCAATAAGGCCTAGAAGCTTTGAGTTGTACCAGCAGAAGGAGCACAGAGGGACTCTCGGGTCCCGCCAACTACAATTCCCAAGAGCCCTGGCCCCGCCCCTTCTGGATGGCCCCGCCCTACCTATCTGGCCCCGCCCCCTCTCAGCGACCGGCTGGGTGCCCGCCCGACTTCCCAGCTGCCCCGTGTAGCCCGGGCATGCCCAGTGTGGGCGCAGCCCCGGCTCTGGGAGCGCCGGGGCGGAGCGGGCTGCCGGGCGCGGAGCAGGCGGATCGAGCCTCGGTGGGCGAGAGCCCGGGCCGGAGCCGCCGCGGCAGGGCTGCGGGGTAGGTGTGGGCCGCGGCAAACGGGGATTCGAGCCGCTTGCACGCCCGTCTCTGGGCGGCAGGGCCCAGGGGGCAAGGAAGGGCTGGCAGGCCAGAGCTGGTCGGTGAGGTTCTGGCGGGGGCTGCGGCAAGGACCCCGGCCCCGAGGGCCCGGGACGTGAAGGGCGGCGAGGGCAGGCCCTGCGGCGCCCGGCGCCCAGGCTCGCTCTCTCCCCAGGTGCGGTGGGGCTGTCTTATTTAGATCCCGTGACCCACGGTGAGCTTGCCTCTGGCTGGGGAGAAAGACGGGTCCTCAGCCCAGTTACCCAGATGCTCCGGGAGAGAGGGGACCGAGCACTCCTGGGGCCCCAGGAGGCATTCTGCGGCCCCGTGATGAGTGAGGGTGTTACCTTCTCCCTACCTGGAGTAGGAAACGCCGGCTTCCTGCCTTCCGGGACTTGGGTTTGATGGCTTCGGAATGAAAGTGGTGGGAGTATGTCATAAGTAGATGCTTAATCGCTCCTAAAGACGGACAAGACTTTAGTGGTCCGCAGCATTTCAAGGTTTAAGAAAGGTGATTTGTCCATGAGGATGTTTGGGTTAAACAGAAATCCTCGTTGCAAAGAAGCCTGGACTGCGTTAGAACCCTGAAGTTCTGAAGTTTGCTCTAATTAGCTTTCATTCGCTGTTGGACAAACCGTTTAACTTCTCCACCTGTAAAATATTGTGAACCAGAAGACGCATCTGGATTCCCTGTGTTGTAGGAACCCTTTGTCACTGGTGTGGTCTCAAATTGTGGCAGGTTATTTTTCTGCACTCCTCAGCAATTTGTTAAACAGGGTAATTCATACCAAATATTCTCTCCTGTAGGAAAGATGTTAGGCCCACAGTACAAAATTGAAATGGCCTGTCCTTCGGAGGTTCTATTTGGTCCGTAGGTCCTTTGGTTGCTACATGCAGAAGCTGGGTGTTAAACTGCCAGGAGTCAAATAACAGTGGTTCTGGGCTGGGATATACATGTTTGAAGCTCCCTGTCTGGTCTCAGAGAAAACTAGACCAAGTAACGACTTCTTCAGATCTCAGACCTGGTGCATTCTTTAATAGGATCACAGTCATACAGACTTTTTTCAGCTTTATTCTGTTGTACTCTATCCTCAAACCCCGTGGAGAACTTTACTACCCTTTATTTAGACGAGCAAGTCATCAGCTAAGAGGGCGTGTAACTATGATAGTCTTCACACACAAGTGTCCTGCCCCTTATTAGACATTTACTATTCTGCCCACGGACTGCTCTCACCACAACTCTTGGCTAGAGAAGACATGTGAGAAACTCTGAGGCTTTTTTTTTTTTTAGGAGAGGAGTGGGAGTAATAACATGTTTCTTAACCCTAGAAACTAGTCCAGGTAAGCACATTTAGCTAGGACAGATGTGCATGGTAGCCTTCCGATTCTGCACTCCCTGTTCCTCCAGTTCTGAGTGGCATTAGTCCAGTTGGGTCAGTGTAGTGCTACATGGCCAAAGGTCAAGGGAAGACAAGTTGTAGACAGGCTGCCTGTGAAATTAGTGTATTAAGGTTGTTATCTGTTAAATTGGAGATGCTGGACTTGATTTAGTGAGACTTGAGAACGTTAAAATTCTAAATTCTTACTTTTAAAATTTTTTTGAGACAGGTTTCTCTTTGTTATAGTCCAGGCTGTCCTGGAACTTGCTTTGTAGACGAGGCTAACCTCGAATGCACTGAAATCCACCTGTCTCTGCCTCCCAAGTGCTGGGATTAAAGGCATGTGCCAACACTGCCTGGCCAAATCCTTAACATTTTTACAAGTGGATTTTCCATTCACCTTAAGAGTTCACCTTAAAGAAATCACTTTAAAGAAATAAAGAGAGCAGTATTATAGATTATTTGTAGTGTGAATGCTCTTGCCCTTTCAGCACTGGGGACTGCACTCAACTGCAGAGTTTCAGGTATGCTAGCCAGGCTCTCTACCCGTGAACTATATCCCCAACCTTTGGTTTTGTTTTTTTGAGACAAGATTTCATGAAGTTACTCAAGCTGACCTCGAATTCATCTTGCGCAGACTTTGAACCCGTGAGCCTGCCTTCCCCTGCCAAGTAGCTGGGATTATAGGACTACATTATCAGGCCTGTCTCGCGGTTTTTAAAATTTTTCTTTGGTGTTGGGAATTGAACATGCCATGCAAGTTCACTATCACCGAGTTACACGGTTTGTTTCTTTTTCAACATTTATTTTGTGTTTGCGTGAACATGCATGTGCCCTGCATGTTCAGTGGAGTCAGGGCAACCCATGTGGGGCTTGCTGCGGCAACTTACCAAGGCCTCATATTTCAAAAGAGAAAATAAGAATCGTAGGTTTCTTCAGTTATAGTTATAGCTTCATAGTTCGTTGTATTAGTGCTACAATCTATTACTCTTGCATTAGGGCTATTAGTATATGTAATCATTTTGTAGAAACAGATCATTGACATATCATATTTTTTTCCATTTGTTTTCAGGCCTTCCATGATGAGAGATTTGGGGGTACTTCCCTATCTGTGTAATTGACAGTCTGGGCAACGAAGAGATGGCTGACAGCGTCAAAACCTTTCTGCAGGACCTTGGCAGGGTGATTATATTTTGTGGCATATTTTTATTTTTGCTAGGAAATTCTTCAGGTGTTTTATATTTTTATCATGTTTGTTGTGTCTTACACAGAATGTTAGTTTTCGGTGTAGTTAGTCTCCATTGTTCAGTAACAAGAGTTTTTCATATTTTTGAGAGTCTTGCTGACCTTGAACACCTGGTGGTGCTCTTGCCTCAGTATGCATAGTACTAGGAATGCAGGCATCCCACATATTTTTTTATTTTGCTATATAGCCCTGGCTGGTTTGAGTTCTTTTAAGTTCTGTTTCTCCTTCCCAAATGCAGGGATTACCAGTGTAAGCCTGTGCCTATATCCAGTATTTTTAATAAGCAAGAGAGATAAAGTGAATGTGTCTGTCTGTTTCTGTGTATATAGTTGGAATTTTCTTTTGGCCACCAACCAGCTCTCAAATAAAATCACAGAGACTTACTATTATGAATCTCAGCCTTAGCTTAGGTTTGTCCCACCAGCTCTTTTTTTTTTTTTTTTTTATTATGTATACAACATTCTGCCTCCATGTATGCTGACACACCAGAAGAGGGCGCCAGATCTCATTACAGATGGTTGTGACCCACCATGTGGTTGCTGGGAATTGAACTCATGACCTGTGGAAGAACAGCCAGTCCTCTTAACCCCTGCGCCCTCCCCCCCCCCCCCCCCAGCTCTTTTAACTTCATTTTGCCTCAGGACTTTTTTAAACCTTTCTTTCATTCTGTATATCCTACTTTCCTGCATCCTCCTGTCTTTCTGCCCCTGGTGTTTCCCTGTAATCTTTCTTCCCCAAGCCTAAATTTCTCCTCCTCCTCACTTGCTGTTGGCTGGTCAGCTTTTTATTAGACCAGTCTAGTAGACTTAGGCAAGTTACTGTTTTAACTTTTTTTTTGAGACTGTTTTTCTCAAGTTTTAGAGCCTGTCCTGGAACTCATTTGGTAGACAAGGCTGGCCTCAAAAACACAGATCCACCTGTCTCTGCCTCCCAAGTCCTGGGCTTAAAGGCCACCACCACCCAGCCCATATCTTTACATAATTAAACACACCTTTTCATAAACATTCTGCAGTGTGTGTGTATTTGTGGTACAGTCTCATTCTCATGTGGATAAGCAGAACTTTAGGTGTCTTCCTCTCTCCCCTCTATTGCTGGCAACCTTATTGCCTCAAGACAGGGTCTCTTACTCATCCTGAGTTGGCCTATTTGGCAAGCCTGGCTGGCCAGGAACTTCTTAGGATACAGCAGCCGTGCCTAGCTTTTACAAGAAGGTATTGGGATTTGAACTCAAGGTTCGTAGGCTTGTAGAGCACTTTTAAGTACTGATTGATTCCCAGTCCTTTTATCCTGTATCCTATGAAGTTGGGGAAACCTGTCTGTTGAGTGCATTATCTAGTATTAGGTTTCTGGTTAGCTTGACTACAGAATCTTAAAAATTTGTTTGAGGGAGGTTAGCCTTCACCTGGCTGAGTAGTCCTGGATGACCTTGAACTCCTGATTCACTTATAGTGTTACCATGCTAGTTTGAGCCAGATATAGTAGCACATATTTATAATTACAATAATCATTGGACTGAGGCAGGAGGATCAGGAGTTCTTGGCCATCTTAGGCAGTGTAGTGAGGCCCATCTCAAAAACACCTCCCTCTTTTAACTTCAAAAAAAAAACCAAAAAACAAAACAAAACACAGGTGTAGTGTGATTTGCCACTGACCTCAGCACTTGAGACAGCAAAGGACCGGGAGTGGTTCAAGTAGACTTGGCTACATAGGGAGTTTGAGGCCAGCCTGGGCTACATGAGACCCTGTCTCAGAAAGAAAGAAAAGAAACAGATTTTTAAAATGGCTATCAAGGCTGGGCACGCCTTTAATCCCAGCACTCAGGAGGCAGAGGTAGGCAGATCTCTGTGAGTTTGAGGCCAGCCTGGTCTACAACAGCGAGTTCCATGACAGGCTCCAAAGCTACAGAGAAAATCTGTATCCAAAAAAAAAAACAAGCAAACTCCAAAAAGACCATCTAGTCTAAGAGTGACGTTCTAACTGCCTGTTTATCAAAATCAATTTAGAAATAACTCTGGGCTTATGAGATGACTCAGAGAGGAAAGTGCCCCCAAGTCACTCATCATGGAGGGCCTAGAAACAGATGGAGGAAAAAGACTTATGTAAAGACATATTCCTTCATGATTTGTTTCTACAAAACAATTACACATTCTAGTAGCACTAACACAAACAGATAAAGGGGCTTGTGACCAAGCCTGACACAGAGTTCAGCCTCCAGGATCTTCTTGGCATTCTGACTACACAACTGTGCTTTTTGTTTATTAGCTTTATTTAATGTGTGGATTGCACAGTGTGTTGGTTTTCTCCTTGCTGTCAACTTGGTGGCAAGTACCTTTACTGCTGGACCATCTTACTGGCCTTTATGTGTTTTGAAGAAGTGTTCTTACTCTGTATCCTAGACTGGGTTCAAATTTGTGGTGAGTATCTTGCCTCAGTCTCTCAAATACCCTGGTGCTAGTCTTATAGGAATATGCCACCACACCTGGCTCTGTTATTTTTTGTTTGTTTATTTGTTTTGTTTTGTTTTTTGTTGTCTTTTTATGAAGTTGACTATCCTGGTGATGTTATTCTTCTTTGGACATAAATCTGTTATGGTTTTTAAATTTTAATATGTGTGTGTATTAAATTTTTAGCTTTAGTTGTATAATTTTTCTGTCTTTTTAATAGTGGGGATTGAACCCAAGGCCTCTCCCATGATAGGCAAACACTCTGCTGACTCCCAGACTTTTCTTGCCTTTATTTTGAGGTAGGGTCTTACATTGTAAGCCCAGGCTGACCTAAGGCAATTTTCCTGCCCTCATCTCCCATCTTGCTGGGGGTTATTCTATATTTTTGAGCATTTTCATCTGTCCAAAGATTAGTTCACTGAAGTATGGTATGTGGTTGGTCGCAGGGATGGGTAAGTAAATGCAGTTCTTTCATCCGATGACAGGTAGACCTGGTGTTTATAGCACCAGCAATAACTTGGAATTCTTCAGGTATGGTTAGCAGGTGCATTTGTCACTGACTATGTTGGGTCTACACAAACTCAACAGCACCTCCCTCATGTATCCACCAAGGGTATTCTCCAGCCACACCACCATGATGCATCTGCTTTATGTGGCACTCTCTGCCTCCCTCTTTTCCTCCTTCTTTTCTTTCTCTTTTTAAACAGTAATTGTGTCTGGTGTTTAGAGCTAGTATAGGACTCAGGGAATACTGCATCAATTTAATTGGTACTGAAAGGGAGTAGGGAAGGCAATAACATAGTACCGGTAAATGTAAAAGTGTTAGAAAACTACTATTTAGTACTCATAATTCAAGATTGGTATAGGCAGGAAATGTGGAAGGATGCAGCATGAACAATTGCTACACACCTTTATATATAGTAATATTCTACAACATAAACAAATGTAACACATCTTTACATAGTAATATTCCACAACAAAGGATCTCTTCAAAATAAGACATTAATAAAGGGTGAGGGTCTAGTTCTTTGGTAAAGTACTGCCTACTATGCACCAAGTCCTGAGTTCCATCAAGCACCGGAGGCACAAATCACTCTCCTTAAGCTATATAGGAAAATAAATACTGTGGTTTCTACTGTTACTTTCCTGTGTGTGACTTTGGAAAGTCTACTCTAGCATAATCTCTCGAAAATGTCCTTATCTACAGGGAATCAAAGACTCCATCTGGGGCATCTGTACCATCTCAAAACTAGATGCTCGGATCCAGCAGAAGAGAGAGGAACAGCGTCGAAGAAGGGCAGCTAGTGTCTTGGCCCAGAGGAGAGCCCAGAGTGTAGAGCGGAAGCAAGAGAGGTGAGGAGTACAGGCACACATCCCAAGCTGTCATTGGAGGGGCACTTGAGGAAATGACTGATCTTAGTATAGAACGAAGGCCCTACATAGTAAGTTATAATTCCAGTGCCTTCTAAGCAAACCTGATGGCCTGGGTTTAATCCTTAGAACCCATGGAAAGCTGGAAGGACAGAACCAGCTCCACAGAGTTTTCCTTTGCATCCTCCACATGCATCTCACACATACAACAATAAATTAAACAACAACAAAAATAGAGTGCCAAATAGAGGACCACAAACAGTATTTAATTTGATGGGTATCTGTAATAAGGCCTATATGGGTTTGTTTATTGATAGACTAAACCCTACCCCAGACTTTCTTTTTTGTTGTTGTTTTTGTGTCTGGAGAGACAGCTATGGGTGCTGGAAACCCAAACTCTTATATTTTTGGTAATAAGCCTAGCCTTTAATGGCTGAGGCATCTCTCCAGCCCAAGACTTTCTTGTTTAATTTGTTCTAACCTCAGACTTTAGATGGAAGAACACACATATACACACACTCATACAATTTTGTTTAATTTGGGGACTGGAGAGATGGCTCAGTGGTTAAGAGTGCTTATTTGTCTTCCAGAGGACCTGGGTTCAGTTCCCAGCACCAACATGAAGGCTAACTGTCTACAGCTCTGGCTCCAGGGGGTCCAAGGCTCTCCACTGACACACATGCAGGCAAAACACTCATACACATAAAAATAAAAGTAAATAACACTTAAAAAATTATCACTGGGAGAATATATCCATTTCACAGCACACGTGTACTTGTCATAGTTCATGGGCTCAGGGAATCAAACTTAGGTTGCCAGACTTGTGTGACACCTATCAGTAAGCCTTTTTAGACAGAGGCAGGCAGTTTGAAGCCAAATGGTGTGTTCCAAGTCAGCCAGGGTTACATACACAGTGAAATCCTGCCTCAAAATGACAACAAAATAGAAAAGCTGGTTCTTCATCTGGGTGTGGTGGCACAAGCCTGTTATCTCAGCACTGTGAAGAGGGAGGCAGGATGACTGCCAAGAGTTTGAGGCAAGCCTAGCCTATATAATGAAGGCCTATCTCAAAAACAAAAACCACCGGATTTTCCAGAAACCTTTTCTTACTGACTTTCTTATAGCCTTATTGACTGACTTAGTATGTTGGAAGAACATTAGGTGTTCAAAGATAGTCTGGTGCCCATAGAAGCTGTAGGTTGGAGAGTTCTTAGATAACATTAGGAAACATTAGTTCTTAGATAACATTTATAAGCTAATTCATATCTTTTTCAGTGAGCCACGTATTGTTAGTAGAATTTTCCAGTGTTGTGCTTGGAATGGCGGAGTTTTCTGGGTAAGTTCTTTTCCAGCAAATTCTAGGTTCCTTTTAAGTATCTTTACACTGTTATTAGGTTACTATTTTTCAGCTGCATCCTTGAAAATACTAAGATAACTGTCTTTGTTTGAGCTGCTTATATATGCTGATGATTATCACATGGATGGGGATGGAGGAGGGGAGTGGGAGTGGGGTACTGAGCAAGAAATACTGATGCATGAAAGTGTCAAAATGAAACCCACTATTTTGTATGATGGCTAAAAGCATTAATTGTTTCAATGCATGGTAGTACATTCCTATAATCCTAGTACTTGGGAGGCAGAGATAGGCAGATCTCTGAGACCAGGCCAATCTTGTCTACATAACTGAGTTTCAGATTATTCAGGGACTCTATAGTGAGATGCTGTTTCAAGGGAAAAAAATTTAAAAGAAAAGGAAAGGGTAGATGTGGCCAGATAAGCAAAATTCTTTTTGTTCTGGTTGTAGCAATTGACTATTATTGAGACCCAGATCAAAAAGGTTACCTATAATTAACTGAGAACTATGATAGTCTTTAGTGAAATATGGATGTATCTAGAATGAGTACATACTTTCCTTGACTTGATATTCAAAGTAATTCAGTTTATCTTAATGTAAACATTTCACTAATATTTTCAGATGTTAGCTTTAGATTTAATTAATAAACACCATGGGCTGTTTAGTATATATCTTTATACTTACCCTGAATGTTAGTTAAAATGTTTTTTCTGTCTCAAACGAGTCAAGGATACATATCAATTTGTTGTACTCTCTTGGAGTTTTGGGAAGTAGGAGAGGTATTTCTCCTGGCCTCCTCCTGTTTTATAAACTAGCAATCTTGACAGGAAAGTCATTACAGTGAAAGGTGAAATGCCTTGTTTTAATTTATTTTATTATTATTTTGTTTTTGTTTTTTTGAGATGGTTTCTTTGTCTGTAACCCTGGCTATCCTGGAACTCACTCTGTAGACCAGGCTGGCTTTGAATTTACAGAGATCCACCTCTCTCTGCCTCTCGTGCGGGGATTAAAGGCATGCGCCACCACCACCTGATGCCTTGTTTTAATTTAAAGAAGGGTTTTGATTACTTTATTGCCTCTTTTCTTCAGTTCAGTCTCCTCTTGTTTTACCGAGTGTTTATTCCTGTGCTTCAATCAGTAACAGCCCGGATTATCGGTGAGTGTGTCTTGAGTGTGTCTGTATCTTGCTCCTGCTGGGAGTAGAGATCTTTGAGAGTTTGAGATCCTTGTTTCTTCAGTAAGCACTTCCTAACAATACTAGCAGTTTGATGTATTTTGGTTTTTGTTTTTGATACAGGGTTTCTCTTTTTGTAACAGCTCTGGCTGTCCTGGTTCTTTGCCTTGCCTTCCTTGTGCTGGTATTAAAGGCGTGTGCCCCCCTCCACCCTGCTGATGATTCCAGTTTAGACTTCTCAATGACTTTTTGAGATAGGCGTTGTTGAGCTATCCATTTTATGGATAAGTAATTAGAAATTAGTTAAGCCATTAGTAAGTAGCAGAGCTGAGATTTAAATTCAAGTGGATTCCTGACAGCTCTGTGGTTAGTCACTTTGTGACTTCTCAGTAGTCACCCTGTAAGCAGGTTTATTTTAAGATAAACAGAACAAAATGTGAATACAAGAGCTGTGGCCAGAATGTGAGGCAGATGAATGTCACAAAATAGTTCCATTTTTGGTCTTTTGACATTCCACCTGTCTAATTAAACTAATAATTCTTTTTGCTTTTTATTTTAGGTGATCCATCACTGCATGGAGATGTTTGGTCATGGCTGGAATTCTTTCTGACATCAATTTTCAGTGCTCTTTGGGTGCTTCCCCTGTTTGTGCTTAGCAAAGTTGTGAATGCCATTTGGTTCCAAGTAGGTACAGGGCAGAATGTGGAGTCTGGGTTCTACTTGATGGGCTCCCTAGGTTATACACTTTAGCCTCTGAAGTTAGGGGCCCATAGAGAACCAGCTTTTAAGCCTTGATGCTTTTTAAGCTAAGCAGGCAGTTGGGTAATCCTTGGGGTTTTGTAAGGTGGAATGAGTGTCTCGGGTTACTAAGGCAGACTTCTCACCTGGCAGCTCTAGGAGCAGAGCAGTAGCTCTGGGATGGACGTGGGACCATTCATGTTTCACTGTACTGCTGTTCTCTGTTTTAGGATATAGCTGACCTGGCATTTGAGGTATCAGGGAGGAAACCTCACCCATTCCCCAGTGTCAGCAAAATAATTGCTGACATGCTCTTCAACCTTTTGCTGCAGGCGCTCTTCCTTATTCAGGTGAGACACATGGAGACAGCTTTAAAAAGGTTAAAAAGAGCTAGTTCCAGGACAGGCTCCAAAACCACAGAGAAACCCTGTCTCGAAAAACCAAAAAAAAAAAAAAAAAAAAAAAAAATAAGGAAAAATGACTCAGTGGTTGGTGTCTGGTACCCACATGGTGACTCACAGCATTCGTAACTCCAGCTGACGCAGCATTCTCTTATGACTACTGAAGGCACCAGGCACAAATGTGGTACATATTTATACATGCAGCCAGAATATTTAAAATTTAAAAATCTAAAAACATTAAAAAAATGAAAAGACAGGACAATAGTGGCCTACCTGAGGTATGGGTATTGGGGAAGAGGAGAGAGGAGAGAGTGAGACTTTAAAAACTTATCCCCAGAAGCAGCTAGAGAGTTTAAATATAAAATTATAAGAACCATGGATTTATCTTGTCTTCCCTTGGAGTGTCTGATCCTGCCATTAACCAACTTTTGAGGCAGCTAGTATGTAGTAGTGAGTGAGAAATGTCTGACACTCTGGAATTGAGTTTGTTAAATTTGTTTCTCAGGGGATGTTTGTGAGTCTCTTCCCCATCCATCTTGTGGGTCAGCTGGTTAGTCTGCTGCACATGTCTCTTCTCTACTCACTGTACTGCTTTGAGTACCGTTGGTTCAATAAAGGTAAGTCCGTGTAAAGAACCCCAAGAATACAAGCCCTGCTGAGAAATGCTGGTGCTAATCACACTAAGCTATTCAATACTTAGCTCTTAGCAAATTTCTGAAAAGACTTTGGCTCACTGGCAAGAGGGAGATTCCATTTGGCCTAGTGAGTTTATTAACCTTTGGGGCCAGGGGTAGTAGCGTGTAGAATTGTAGAATTAATTGCCATTTTAATGCTTAATGTGATGTAGCTGTGTTTGGACCAGAAGTTGATAGAAAGAGCATAAGTTGTTTCACAGAAGTTAAGTGGATACTAGTGCATTTAGATTTTTTCATTTTAAGACCTGGTCTTGCTATGTAGCCCAGGCTGGCTTTGAGTGCTCACTCTTAATTCAGGCTGGCCATCAACTTTCCAGTCCATTTTCCTGCTTCTACCTCCCAAGTGCTGGGATCGTACGCGTGCACTATTGGGTTGAGCTCCTTCGGTTACTTTGGGATTTAGTTATTTTCATCCTATTATTTTTAAATTTTAGTTATTTTCTTTTTAAATTATTCTACAATCTTTTGAGTCAGGATTTCATGTAGCCCATGCTGCTATTGAACTTGCTATGGAGCTGAGATGACCTTGAACTTCTGAGCTGCCCTCTATTTTCAGAGTGCTGGATTATAGGTGTGCACAGTTTATGCCTTTTCTTTTTTTTTCTTTCTTTTTTTTTTTTTTTTTTTTTTTTTTTTTTTTTTGTGTGTGTGTGTGTGGCCTGGTTTTTTTTTATGGTCCAGGCTCATTTTAAACTCCAGTTCTCTTGTTTTAGCATCTTGAAGGCTGGAATTACAGTTTTGTGCTATTATACCCAGCTAGGGATCTTGTAAAAGGACTTTGATCCTTTGTGTGGGGTCTAACACTTGTAATCCTTGCACTTACATTGAGGTAGAGATAGGAGGATTTTGAGTTTGAAACTAGCCTGGACCAATATATATAAGATCCTATGTAAAAAAAAAAATACAAACCCAAACAAAAACATTTGCCTGTTCATCTTGGTGAGTGTGACTGAAGTAACTGCTTTCAGTAGAGATGTCATTTTTTTGGGGGGGGAAGAGGTATATTGTTTTTTTGAGACATGGTTTCCCTGGCTGTCCTGGAGCTAGCTTTGTAGTCCAGGCTGGCATCCAACTCAGATCAGGCTGCCTCTGTCTCTTGAATGCTGGGATTAAAAGTGTATGCCACAACCACACTTGGTGAGATGCCATCCTCTTTTGATATTTCACGTTGTTCTAGATTGCCCTGACTAGGGATGGTGGTGCTAAAATTAATGTTATTTTGAAATATGATTCTTGTAGAATCTTTGCATTGAATCTTTATGTCAGATTTGTACAATTCCTTGAAACAGGGTCTTATTGTCCTAGCTGGTCAGTAACTCCCTATGTAGACCAAGTTGTCTCTGTTTTCCAAAGTGCTGGGATCAAAGCTTTGTACCATCATAAGCCTGCTAGATTTTGTTCATGAGCTGTATCTGTGTTTTGAATGGTAGCTCTGGGCCTAAAACCTAAGCCTGAAATAATTGTGTCTGCCAGTTAGTCATGTAACTATGAGTCTTCAGTGTACTGACTTACTTGTTTCAGGAATTGAAATGCACCAGCGATTGTCAAATATAGAAAGGAATTGGCCTTACTACTTTGGATTTGGCTTGCCCTTGGCTTTTCTCACAGCAATGCAATCCTCCTATATTATCAGGTAATTTGGCTAGAGAAAATTGAAATACTAGAAAAATAAAAAGCTCAGGTAGTATGTTTTAACAAGCATCTTTTATTGGTTTGCTTCTGTACCTAGTATTTTATTTTACATCATTTGACCATCAGGAAGAATTTTTGATGTTTCTAATAGTAATTGACATTTGTCAGCATTAAAATGTAGTCTACCATATTATATGCTGCTTCCTGGAGGCAGATACTTATAATTCGGAAAATTTTCTGTTCATTTCTGAAGCTGTGTTTATGATATATTAAGGTTTTATCCCATCATGCTGTTCTAAGCAGGGAAAGAGATAGGAGGCTTCCATACCTTTCCTGAAGTCACCATGTATTGTGAAGCTGACCTGTTTTCTTTTTTTTTCTTTTTTAAAACAGTGGCTGTCTCTTCTCTATCCTGTTTCCTTTATTCATTATCAGCGCCAATGAAGCAAAGACTCCTGGAAAAGCATAGTAAGTGCCTGTGAAGAGACTTCTGCTCTGAAAATCTCTTATGCTGAAGGAAAGCCTTATGTCCTAGTTAGTTTCTCTTGCTGGGAGCACTATGACCAAAAGCAGAAAAGGAGGAAAGGATTTATTTGGTTTACATTTCCATATTATTATTCATCCTCAAGGGAACCTGGAGGCAGGATTGGATGCAGAGGCCATGGAAGGGGGCTGCTTACTGGCTTATTCCACATGGCTTGTTTAGCCTGCTATCTTATAGAACTCAGGACCATCAGCCCAGGAATGGGCCCTCTCACAATGGGCTGGGCCGGGTCCTCTTCTATCAGTCACTAAGAAAATGCCTTACAGTTAGATATGAGGAAGGCATTTTTCTCAACTGAGGCTTTCTTTTTAGTGACTATAGTTTTGTGTCAAGTTGATATCAAACTAGCCAGCACACCGTAATATATAGTTTAATTTTTTTTAAGATTTATTTTTTAGTGTTTTGCTTACATGTCTGTACCATGTGCATGCAGTGCCTATGGAGGACAGTAGCTGGTGTCATATCCTTTGGAACTGTGTTACAGGCTATTTTGAGCTACTGTATGGGTGCTGGGAACTGAGACAGACACAAGGGTGTGAAGAGGAGATATATACCAATATATACAAGATATATACAAGGAGTGTATAAATTTGTAAATATTTCCCAAATTAATTGACCCTCTCACATGCTCATTTTTATTTCTCCCTGTTGTGTCTTGAGCTTGTGATTCTGCTACCTTGTCCTCCAGTGCTTAGACCGGAGGTGGATGCCACCAAGCCTGACTGTTTATTCCTGTCCTTAATTTAACACTTGTAGCAGGTATAATGATTCATGCCTTAATCATAGTACTTGGAAATCTATGGCAGAAGGATTAATATGAGCTCAAGATCAGTTTGGGCTACAAAATGAATTCTAAGTCAACAGTCATTAGATAGATGTAAGGCCTTTGTGAACATCTGAGTAAAGCCCACTTTTGGATTAATAGCCACTTTTAAAGAAAGTGGTAGGTTCTATGTTGTCTGGCCACATAGAGAAGTGCTTTTATAATCTGAATTACGGGGCTGGAGATGAAGCTCAGCAGTTGAGAGCACTGGTTGAATTCTTAGCATCTTGGTGGCTCACAGGTATGTAGTTCTGGAGGATCCAACACCCTCTTCTGCCTTTTGTGGGCAGCAGGCACACAGTTCATGAACAGACATACTTTTGATAAACACTCAGTTCCTTAAAATAAGTACTAAAAAATCTGGATTAATATAAAATAGAACTTTATTTCCTTTAAAAGCCCCAGCCCTGATACTGAAAACTGGCGATTGTAATGCATTTGTGGCAGCGACTATGTTTCTTTTTCTTTTTTATTTTTTTTGAGGCAGCGGTTTCTGTGTAGTTCTGGCTGTCCTAGAACTCACTCTGTAGACCAGGCTGGGCTTGAACTCACAGAGATCCACCTGTCTTTGCCTCCCAAGTGTTGGGATTAAAAGTGTGGGTCACTACCAGCTACATTTCTTTTTTCCAGTGGTGGGATTAAACTCACAGCCTCAGACTTGCTAGGCAAATAGTCTATCCTGCTACACACTCTTACCCAGTGCATTCTTTAACTGATCAATGAATGTGTCAAATATCTGTATTGCTTTGATAAGTTTTGTTGCCTTGTTTTCCCTGTGTAGTTTTAATTTAAAGTAGTCAGATAAACTAATTTGCTTGAAGCAGTTATCAGCTTAGAGCTAACGAGTTTCTTGTCCTTCTCAGTCTTTTCCAGTTGCGCCTCTTCTCCTTGGTGGTGTTTTTAAGCAACCGACTTTTCCACAAGACAGTCTACCTGCAGTCAGCCCTGAGCAGCTCCTCCTCTGCAGAGAAGCTCCCTTCTCCACATCCTTCTCCTGCCAGACTGAAAGCTGCTGCAGGCCACTGAGTCCTGCTGTCCAAAGAGGATGGGTGGGATTGGGTGGAGGATGTGGCAGCTCTTTACTCTGTTTTCCACCCCCTGCCATGGAAGGCAGGACCCACTGCCAAGGGCCCTCTGCATATTTCCTTCTCTTTGAATTGGAATTTTTGTCTCCGGTACACATAAGGCAGAATCTTCCTGAATCCAGTATGTGGATTTTTTTTTTTAACCACCACCCTAGTCTGAAAGGGCCAGAGTTCCAGCATTTGCCAGCTCCTGTGCCTGGACTGATTGACTACATTTTTCATTTCCCTGTGTAATTTACCCTCCCACTTCTTGCTGCCTTCCAGCACCCCTGGATGAATGGGCTTTGTAATTTTAACTGTTGTATTTTGTGTATTTGTTGTTACTGTTTTCTGTGCAGCACATACATTGGATGTGGGAGGTGAAGGAGCATTCCAATTGCCCCAGGTCACTCCCTCTATAGCCACCACTGTCTTGTTTTCTTGTAACTCAGGTTAGGTTTTGGTGTCTCTTGCTCTGCTGCAGAAAAAGAAAGGAAGGAAAAAAAAGACCCTGAAGAGATGGGACAGATAGACCTCAGCCAAACTGGCTGCGTTTTGAGGAGTTATTTTCTTTCTTCCCCTTGAAGGGGAAACAGCCTTTTCACTAGTACAACTTAAGTTCCCCAGTTATGGGGTGGTACCAGTTCTGGACAAGTGCCACTGCATCAGAATGCTCAGAGGATCTGAAATTCTTAACCCTGAAGATGAAATTTTCTGTTGGCCACTGCCAGGTCTCATTGGTGTTTTAAGGAATATTGGGTGCTTCATATAGGAATTGAAGGGGTAAACTTATTAAACCCATTCAACCTGTGATTGGTGATGTTTTCCTGTCATTTTAAGAGTCTAAATAAGGGGTGGGAGGGCAGATGTAAAAAACTTGTACAATTTTAAAATATCACAATTAAACGTGAGCTCATTTCCCATAAAATGTGTAATGTTTGATTTCTAAATCACATCTTGAGCTAGTTGTATTCAGATTGAATGACTTTGTCTTGAATAATCCGGTTATAGATTTTAGAAATTAGCTCTGAAATATTCTCAGAATGAGCTTGGTAATAGTGTTATAATTATGCTTACTGCTTTGGTGATTGTTGGTTTTTGGCTTGTTTGTTTTGATGAGTGTTTTAAAGCAAGTTGTTTCTATTGTGTATTTGTTAAGGGAGAAAATCTCTCCATTTCAGTATATTAAGTGCTGCACTGTAGTCTGAGGAAGGGATTAGACAATTGATGTGTAATATGTGACAACTGTAATCAGTTTTTTTTTTTTTTTGAGACAGGGTTTCTCTAGCTTTTGGTTCCTCGAACTCCGCCTGCCAGAGTGCTGGGATTAAAGGCGTGCACCGCCAACGCCCAGCTCTGTAATCAGTTTTAAATGTTTATATACAGTTAAATGGACATGATGACAGTTGTCACAGTGTGCACAAAAATTGTGACAAGTGCCCTTATCCACTGATCCTGCCTACTATTCCATACTTTATAAAAGTTTCAAGAGGAGTTCCCAGGGCTAGATGGTAGGAAAAACGTTGGCCACATTGAGCGTGGTGGCACATGACTTTAATTCCTGGGAGGCAGAGGCAGGCAGATCTCTGAGTTCATGGCCAATCTGGTCTACAAGAGTAAGTTCTAGGACAGCTACACAGAAAAATCCTGTCTTGAAACAAAAACAAAAGAAAGAAAAAGAAAATACACTGGCTACTCTCTCAGAGGACCTAGGTTTGGATCCCAGCACCCACCTGGTGGTTTATGTACAACTGTCTAGAACTTGAGGGTGCACAGAAGAGTTTCCAGTAGCCATGTGTGGTGGTACATAGCTATACTACCACTGGGGAGGTGGAGGCAGAAAGAACAGGAGTTAAAGGTTATCCTCAGCTATAGAACAAGAAAGTAGGTGCTTCAGATGCCTGCTGGAAATGTTATTTGCAGGACTGAGATTGAACCCAGGGCCTTGTACATGTTTGATGCCTCTAGCTCCACGAGAAATGCAGATAGGACAGATTTGTGCCATCATTTCTGTTAACTGCTCTGCCCTTAATAGAGGCTAACATAGGGCATAAAGATGAATTCTGACAACATGGAGCAAATTCAGGAGTGAGTGGTGGGCATGGTGACTCTTGTCTGTAATCCCAGCATTCTAGAGTAAGAACTGGGCAGCTACTGGCTGTCGGTTAGTAAAAAGACGTGTCTGTGGAGGAAAAAATGGGAAGCTATGGTGGTCTGATCACTGTTTCCTCTTCCAACTAAGCTTACATATTACTTTCTGGTTAGAGCAGGAGTACATTCAGCTCGTTTCTTATTAACCTCTATCGCTGAGATTGTTCTGCTACTCCATCCACGTCAGTTCCTCAATAGGGTGAAAATCTACTCATTAATAAAATCTGGATAGCCAGGCGGTGGTGGCGCACACCTTTAATCCTAGGCAGAGGCAGGCGGATCTCTGAGTTCGAGGCCAGCCTGGTCTACAGAGCTAGTTCCAGGACAGGCTCCAAAGCTACAGAGAAACCCTGTCTCAAAAAACCAAAAATAAATAAATAAATAAAAATAAAATCTGGATATGCCCTGTGATCAACAGAAGACAAATGAAGCCAGTCTGAAGTCAGTGTCAACACTTTATAAGATCAGTGGGGTGTATTTGCCTGGCCTTAAGGTGACTGCACAAACCAGAAACAATTTGGAGAGAGAAAGATGACCTAATTATATAACAAGTACTTGAGCACCTTCTCTGTCATATTTGTAGAATGCTGGTGAATCAAGATTACTACTTGATCCCCCCCCCCCCCGGACCAGCTACTGCATTGAGGGAGACAAGTGGATGAACAATGGAACACATGGTCGTGGAGTTATAAGTGATTCTCGAAATAGAATTCTAAACTGGTCGAGCGGTGGTGGCGCACGCCTTTCATTCTAGCACTTGGGAGGCAGTGGCAGGCGGACCTCTGAGTTCTAGGCCAGCCTGGTCTACAGGAGCTAGTTCCAGGACAGGCACCAGAGCTACCCTGTCTTGAAAAACACAACAATAACAAAACAAACACACACTTCCACGGGAGGCCTACACGCCACCGATTGTGCCACTGCCATGTCTCTCATGATCCCTGAGAAGTTCCAGCACATCCCACGAGTACTCAACACAAAACAAACAAAAATTGGTACTGAAGTGGGGCATTGTGGTGCTTGCCTAAAAGTACTTAGGAGGTAGAGGCAGGTGAATCTGAGTTCTAAGCCTACATAATGAGTTCCAGGCCAGTCAGAGCTGCAAAACAACAAAAGTGGTACTGAGGGAGAGATGGCTTATCACGTAAGAGCACATAATGTTCCTGCAGCAAACCCCAGTTGGGCTCCTAGCATCTATGTTAGGTGACTCAAAACCATCTGTAATTTCAGCTCTAGGGAATTTGACACCTCTTTTAGACTTCATAGGCACCTGCACTCAAGTGCATGTACATACACATGATAATGATAAAAATAAAAATGTGATACTGAGGTTAAATCGGTGTCATAATAAAAGTGGGGGAAATTTTCAAACTTAAAGAAGATGGGGAGAATCAAGATGGCGCTGGTGACTGCAGTGGCCTGTCATGCTCTGGACACTCATTGGTAGCTGTGGGCTGTAGCCTCGGCCAGGGACCAGGGCCCTATCTCTTCCCAGTGAGCATTCTGCCCTTCCTCCAGTGGGACTGAGAGAGGATCACCTTGAAGAGAGGAGGCTGGTGTGAGACCATGGTCTGTATTCTGTTCTGTCAATTATATTTTAAATATACGCTGATTGGCCAGTAGCCAGGCAGGAAGTAGAATGGAGAATTCTGGAAAGAAGTCCTAGTCTGCAGTGGTGACCCAGCCACAGAAGTAAGATGTGACTGCCCCACTGAATAAGATGCTGAGTCACATGGCTAGCATAGACAAGAATAATGGGTTAATATGAGTTAATAAGAAGCTGAGCTAATGGGCCAATCAGTTTATAACTAATGTAGACCTCTGTGTGACTTCTTTGGGACTTAATGACCGTGGGAACCGGGCAGGACAGAAACCTCAGACAACAGGAGGCTGTGAAGAAAGGTGAGAGAGAGAGCAACAGGCACCATGATTGGAATCATCAAGAAACAGATCCTGAATGCCAAGAAGAACCTAGACAACACAGCGGATGGGGGTGGGGGGTGGGGGGGGAGTGTCCACAAAGAGCCCAGGCATGCCGGGAAGCACAACAACAGCACCAGCTCTGCCCCGTGCCTGCCTGAGTGCAGTGGGGAGTAAGCAGAGTGATAGGAAAGAAAGAAGCTAGCAAATCGGGGGGCAGGAGAGCAGTTTGCATGCTGTGTTGGAGAAACCCTTGGAAAAACCCAGAGGTCCTTCGCACCACCAGTGGGTAGAAAGAAGACACTTAGAGACCCCACCCAAATGTGTGGCCCATGCACAGTAAGTCTGCAAGAATGGGGTGGAGAGACGGGAGAGAGAAGTGGAACAGCTTGAGTACTATGAATAGAGGAGGATCCGGAGATTCGAGGGTAGAGAGGAACAGCCTGATGTGGGTACCCTGCAAAGCCACCTGAGGCCATGGTGACGCCTTGGCCCATGCTGCCCCTGTGTCTAGGTCCATTGCCATGTAGTGGCAGCAGTCTGTCGATCATGGCCCATGTTACCACCAAAGGCCATGTGGATGTCTCTGGTCTGAACTGCCACCTGGAACCGTGATATTCAAGGGTTGCATAAGTTGGCCTCACCTTCTACAGGCTGTAGCACTTGGGAGAGCAGGCCCTGCAGCACCTGTCCTAGGAGCAGGTGGGCTGGCCCCAAGGGTTCTGTCTTGGGCTAGATGACCTTCCCCCTGCTACTCCCCTGCTGTGGGGGAGCTGGTCCTGCCCCTCACTAGCTATAGGACTTAGAGTGGGCCCTGCACTGCACCTCTCCTGGGCAGCACAGTAGAACTGACCATGTTGGCAGGGCATGGGTGACCTGGCCCAAGGCAGTGGATGATGGGTGGTACTGGAGAACCTCTCTGGTGATGGAGATGCCAGAGAGCTGGCAGAGAGCTGGTGGGCTGACTAACTCAGCTACCACCCAGGTCCAGATCCAGGTTTATGAGTTGGCCCACCCACCCATCCACCCAGTCTATGAACTGCTGCAGCATGTGCAGATCCAAAGCTGCAAGTTCTCCAAGACAGAGGGCAACAACAGGATAGCCAAGAGGACTCCCAGTGAGGATCCAGTATTGATATTGTAGCAGAAGCCAGAGACCTCGAGCCGTACCAAGGACACTGCAATGAACGTTTACAAGTAAAGATGTATGGACTAAGAGTATACTCTGTGATCACTGTGGTACACTACAGCTTCCATAACGAGATTTTAAAAAAATGTTTAAAACTTTATTGGGGGAGGATGGAAGGGCAGAGGGAAGATATGAAGATATGTGTGGGTTTGGGGTGCATGATGTGAAATCTACAAAGAATCAACAAAAAGTTAAAACATGGACAATTTTAAATAAGAGCTGTGGTATCCAAGAACAGAGAGAACCAACATTTCTCTAACAAACTTCAGAAAAATCGAAATTGTAAAATTACCCCAGGATCCAAAACTAGCATTTGGAGTCAGACCAAAAGTGTAAAGCAGGAAGAATAAAAGGAAACATGAGATTACTAAAGATGACTCAGTCACCAGGCTTCTTTCTCAAGAACATACTGGATAACTGAAAATAAAGCCAAAATGCCTGGAAAATAGTCTATTATGAGAGGGAGGGAGGAGAGCTAGTGAACAAAGGGGGGGTGCTGACTTTATTCCTAAAACTGTTTGGGGGTATGTTCTTTTCAAAATATTTTAGATTTAGAATTTCATACATGTATATAATGAATTTTGATGATATCCATCCCCTCCCTCCATTTGGCTTTTTTGAGACAAGATCTCATGTAGCTGAGCCTGGACCTTAAGTTCTTCACTAGCCTC